GGGGCAGACTCTTGTGAAATAGTTGTAGCATACCTCTTCCTCTCAATTAGGAGATGAAAATTCTCTTTTTTCCCTTTTTGTTTTTCTTGGAAGCGGTGACTAGAGTTGCCCCCGCTTGCTCGATTCGTACCTTGGCCGATGACTTAGAAGGTTTTGCCTTTTTCTCTTTGTTACATGATGCTTCCAGCTCTCTTTTCGGTTTCCTTGTCCTTGCTTCTGAACCTTTTAGAGTYGGGTTGATGTTGGGTGGCTCTTTTTTTAGGTAAGTTTTCTGGCTTTCTCTACAATGATGTGCACTTTATCCACCAAGGTTGTAAGGCTCTGTTTTTTATTGAAGGTGCAAGATGTTGGAGCATCTACCCTCTCTCCACTTGGTTGGCCCTCACTAGCTTCTACATGCTGTGTTGGGGCATCTGACGGCTCAATATTTTTTTTATTTTTCTCCCGGTGTGGGGTCTCTATCTCAGCGGTAGCATATTAGAGTACCGTCATCTCTTTATTCCATTCACCAAAATATTCTTGTGCTTCAGCATCCCTACTTACACTATGCTCTAGAATTGCATTTGCACTTAATTTCTCCATTAAAGCTTCACCTAAAATCTTCAACAGTGAGCATTCTTCTGTTCCAATAGGAAACTTCCTGGAATCATAGACTGAGAACTTCACTTTCTGATCTTGCACGTGCATTTTCAACTCGCCTTTTTTGACATCCACAAGCGCTTTTTCAGTGGCAAAGAATGGTTTCCCAAAGATGATAGGGACCTCCTTATCTGCATCGTAATCCAAAATAATAAAGTCAGCAGGGAAAATAAATTTATCTACTTGCAYTAAAACATTCTCGATTTTTCCTTCAAGATATGTGATTGATCGGTCTGCTAACTGTAATGTGACTSTTGTCGGTGGTGCTTCTCCCATTCCCAGCTTTTTGTATATGGACAAGGGCATGAGATTGATACTTGCCCTCAGATCGCAAAGTGTTTGGCCTATCTTCTGTTCTCCAATCGAAACGGGTATGGTAAAGCTCCTAGGATCCTTCATCTTTTCCGGAATTTTGCTTGTAAGGATAGTGCTGCAGGCCTTAGTCATCGCCACAGTTTCATATTCTCAAAGTTTTCTTTTCTTTGTGAGAATGTCCTTAAGGAATCGCACATAAGTGGGCATTTGCTCCAACGCTTCCACCAGCGGTATGTTGACATGCAGCTGCTTCAGCACATCCAAGAACTTTATAAATTGCACATCATGCTCTTTCTTTTGCAGTCGCTTTGGGTATGGTGGTGCGGGTCATACTCGAATGGAGTATTTTCATGCTATATCTGCTTCTGTTTTCCAGTCATGTGCAGATGTGATGCATTTTAGCTGCCCTAGCTTCTACTGGTTTGACCTTTTTGCTTGTGTTGCTTTGTAGTTCCACTATTTGCTCGTTACTATTCACTAACTTCTTAAGGTTTGCCCTTTTTTGACTGACATGATTATACGTGTTCTGGCTGCCTCGCATTCTTTTGTTTGTAGCCTACTTCTTTCATATTGATTTAATTCTTTATGGATTTTTGGAGCATTTGGATGGGCAGTAGGCAATGTCTTGTCACTTTACAATCTCAGAGCATTACATTGTTCATTCCCATCYCTCTTGGGCATCTTAGTATCACTGGGCAGCACTCCATAAGGCCTACTCTTTAGATGTATTGCCAATTGACCCACCTGTATTTCCAGATTCCTCAACGATGTTGCCTGACTTTGCACCATCGTATCATTCTTTTCCGTATACTTCTTCATTAGATTCTCCAAAGATGTGAATGATCCTTCAGATGACCTTTGCACTGTTACCTGACCTTCGGCTAAGAAGCTTGGGGAATAACCTTCTTTTTGCAGATATGCTGAAGCATTAGATATACCAGCATTATTTCCTCCCTGATTTTCATTCCAACATAAGTTAGGGTGGTTCCTCTAGCCCGGGTAGTACGTATTGGAATATGAGTTGTTTTCATTATTCTGAGCATTTACCAAATAGTACACCGACTTTGGATTGTCAGGGCAATTGTTGTAATGATGCTCTCCTTCGCAAAAAAAGCAAGAAATTCCTTGGATGTGGCTAACATTTGCCTTACCAGTAGATGCTCCCACTGTGCTTTGCTATGTCATGCCCCTCATAACCAAATATGTCAAATTTTCAATCTTTGAATTTAAGGCGGTGAAAGACTCTGATTCATTCAATCCCTTTGCTTCCTCTCCCTTGGATGGCTCTAAGGTCAGACCATGAATGATTGTTCGATGATATCCTTTATAAGATGTTGAATGCTTCAGCATAAGGTTTTGCTAGCMATGCGTCATTTGCTGACGCATCGATGACAAGACGGGTGGCATCGTCYAAACCATTGTAATATGTTTCAATTTGGATGCATATTGGGATCCCATGGTAAGGGCATTTTTGCAGAAGCCGTTTGAAATGCTCCCAAGACTCGTTAACTGACTACCCAACAARTTGTTGATTTTGCTTCTGTACTTAGCATTTTTCCTTGGTATGAAGTACTTCATCAAAAACTTTCCAGCCAAGTCGTCCCAACTTTTAATTGATTATGAAGGGAGTGACTCCAACCAGGTCCTCGCTTCATCTTTGAGTGAATAAGGGAACAACTTAAGCCGCGACACTTTTTTGCTGCATCCTTCGTCCTTAAAAGAATTGCAAACTCCCATAAAAAACTTTAGATGCTAATGGGGGTCCTCCATAGAATGTTCGTGAAATTGGTCCACTGTCTGAAGTATTTGAAACATAACTGGTTTAAGCTTAAATTTTGGGGCTGAAATTTCTTGCTCCCATGATTACTGGGTTGAAATTATAAAATGTTGGCGCTGCATACGCCCTGATTTCTCTGTCGATGTCATCTGCTAGTAATATAGCATTGAGAGGGGGCACTACTACCTCAGGGTCAGCAGCAATAGGAACCCCATCTACTATTTTCTCAATCCTCACATTCGGTGGAATAGGTTGGTGCAAAGGTGGGTTGGGCAGATTCATGTTTGTTTCAGCTTGGGTTCTTCTTTGTTCTCTTTGATTTCTATGGAAAGTGTGTTCAATCTCGTGGTCGATAATATATTCCAAGCTCTCAAAATCGTTCATGCACCTACAACCACACAAAAATGTGAGAAAGAGAGAACTCGATTAAGCACCGTATCTACAGACACTATTGTTTACAATAAAATCACTAAGTCCTCGGAAATGGCACCAAAAACTTGTTGCGTCCACACAACCATGTTGACAACACGTGCAAGTATACACGAAATTACCAATTGTAGCACGAAACGAGGTCGAATCCACAAGAACTTTGGATAATATTTTAAACGATGTTTGCAGATACCAAAAGTGTAAACAAAGAAATATTGATGTGGTGTCGTAACTTAAACAAATAAAATGAACAAAGCAGAAAACAAATCTCAGCAGCAAACACACTTCATTAGAGCTGGTAACAAGAAGAAGAAACAGCACAGAATGCGAAAAGGGGAAGTTAACTGATATGGAAAAGTGGGGGATATTCAACATGCTTTCACAGACTTCTCAACCTATCCTCTAGCTTACAAAGATTCATTAGTGCTCAACTCGACTTGGTTCCCTTCCGAGACACCCAAACATGGATACCCACAACTCCCGTTGCTATGTTTCCAAGCAATGAAAACAAGTTGTAGGTATGATTAGGGGACCCAATTGCTGAGAATCCACAAATACTATAGAAAAGTACTAATCACTAACGAAATAAGTCAGTAAACCGTAAGCGCTCCCGAGTCAATACAAAAGTTAGCAAACAGAACATAGCAACCAACAATGTTCAATAGGATATAAGAAATAAACACAACTTCATTAAAAAAYGAACATAGCAGACTAGAGGTACAGTTCATAGTAGTTACAACATTTGAATCTCCCCTGAAATGAGGTTTACCTCATAAATGAAGAAGAAAATACAATGGGTAAAAGAAAGAGACAACCCATCTTAGGGAAACAGTAGAAAAACCGAAGAAGAAGAAGAAGATGACAGCTCGAAATTGCAGYGGAATATCCCTTATGTCGTCAGCTTTATGCCTTTGAAAATGGTGAGAATTCTYCTCCTTGTCGTTTCAACACTAAAAAACTTGGGATCTGCGTGAGAYGGCTAAGGCAACATACCTCTTTTATATCGGGTTWCGTTTTTAAGGCACCCAGCTGAAAGTTGTACGAACATTGTAAATCTCGTGTCWGAGCTRTTATTGCGCAGTGAATCCATGCTTCAGCTYTACTTCGCTCCAGCTTTTATCTGCTCTGTCTTGAAATTGCCTTGCTCACTCTTCTCTGTATTTTGCACTCTCTTTATGCTTATTCTTCTTTTTTCCAAACTTGTGCATTTAAGCAAAAAAATAAGAAAGTTTAACGCAATTTTTAGTCAAAGCATTCAAAACCTGAGACTTTAGCCCGAAGTTCAGTTTATAAGATTTTTCATGATGTGCAAAAGCTAAAACTGACACAATTTGACCTTTCTTTGTATAAAATCACTCAAATAATTACTAGAATAACTCTCTTAAGAAGAGTTATCACATATACTGGAGATTACAGAGGTGTTTATCCCTTGGTGGGATTGGTGGGATATGTTGATGCAGACTATGCTGCAGATACGCACAAACGGCGAAGCACATCGAGATATGTTTGCACTTTATTTGGTAATACAATTAGTTGGAAAAAAGCATTATGGCTTAGGGGCTTAGTTGGTGAATTGATTCAGGTAAATTATCTCGTTATCTTGAGGTGTGACTCTCAAAGTGCAATTCATTTGTCAAAGAATCATGTTTATCATGAGAGAGCAAAGCATATAGATGTTCGTTTACACTTTGTAAGGGTGATATTTGCTGAGAAAACTGTGGTTCTTGAGAAGATTTCTACTAAAGATAATATTGTTGTTGCATTTACGAAGACATTGACATCTAGAAAATTTGAGAAATGCATGAACCTGCTTCAATTAGAAGCAGGCTAAATAGTGATCTTCAGGATCAGAAAATAAGTGACGTTTCATTCATTCATTCTTGAACCAAGGTGGAGTTCTTAGCAAGGTGGAGTTTTTCACCAAGGTGGAGATTTGTTTGGTCGTGTGTCAACCTTGGGCCCAAATTGTTTCTATCCTGAAAAATGTTTGGGCTAGTAGTAATTCTCCAATTCCTTTGTTTTTAGGGGCAACCAGAGGAATAGCTAAATTAAATAGTTTGATTTGAAAAACGGCCAAAATAATCCGATATCATAAAAATAGCTAAAGAACAGTTAAAGCTAAACTACGTGATTTTATGTAGACAAATTTACCCTCCCCATCAAAATAGGTAAATTTATCCTACCATTTCCCCTATAAATTCGTGACGAAACTATCATTCAATAAATCTGTAGTGCACCTAAATTGTAGGAAAGAAGATAGTGAATGGAAATTATAGAGTTCAAAAATTTTAAATAACATATAGATTTCAAAATTTCCAAATTTGTAAGATAAATCTGTTGAATACTTTGAAATTAAAAAAAAAGATTGAATCAAATTGTAAAATAGACTAAAAAAAACGTAAAATAAATTAGAAAAATGGAAAAATAAAGATTGAAGCTGTAAAGTACCATATTAGATTAAAATTATAGATGAAGTAGTTGAAGATTAATACCATATTAGGATCCATTATGGAAGGAAAGACAACTCAAATGACTCCTTCCCATTTTTGCCTTTAACTCCTTCTTCCCACACTTGCCCTAACTCTTCCTTCCTAAAATCAAATAAAATTTGATTCAATAAAGTCTCAAGCCCCTCAAGCTTTCGGCGTCCCTCTTCGGCGTACACAATCTTTGGTATCCCTCTTCCCACTCTTGCTTATCCAGCAAGGGTTTTCATTGATCGATTTTGAATGTTGTTTAAATAAATGAGGTTTAAATAATTGACCGTTTGTTAGCAACCTCCAATATTCAACGGATTTTGTTGGATACAACCTGCTTTTAGGACACCTTGTAGATATGGTAAGTTGGGGAG